GGCAGCCCCTCAAATATTGGAACACTGCTATCATGTCTCCCCTGATCCTTCTCTTCACTAGACTAGCCATGCCCAGGTCCTGCAACAGTTCATCACATGTTCATTACATGTTTTAATCTCCAGGCCTTTGATCATCTGAGATAGATTCAGATTAACAAAATTGGAAGGGACCTTCTAGGTCATCTAGTCTAACCCCCTGCCCAAGCAGGAGACCCTACACCATTTTTGACAAATGGCAGTCCAATCTCTTCTTGAAAGCCTCCACTGATGAAGCTCCCATAACTTCTGAAGGCAACTTCAGTTCCATGGGTTGATTGTTCTCACTGTCAGAAAATTCCTCCTTATTTCCAGGTTGAATTTCTCCCTGGTCAGTTTCCATCCATTGTTCCTTGTCTGGTCAATAGCTTGACCCCCTCCTCTCTGTGGCAGCTCCTCAAAGGTCTCCTAGTCCAACCTCCTGTTCAGGCAGGAGCCCTTTACCATTTCAGAAAGATAGTTGTCCAGTGGCTTCTTTAAAACCTCCAGTGATGGAGGACACACAACTTCTGGAGGCCAGGCGTTCCACTGTTAACTGTTCTCATCGTTAGGAAGTTTCTCCTCAGTTCTAGGTTGGTCCTCTTCAGGATTTCCTGCAGAATCTTTTGCCTCTGTCCAATTTTGCTCTTTTCTGCATATCTTTCCCAGTATCCTTGGTACTTTAGCCGCCTGCTACCTAATGCTGGTCATTGTGCTGAAATATTATCTCCAAACCGATCATGCTGTGAAGCAGGAGCATCTCCATCCTGCTAGGTAAGTATGTGTCAAGAGTTTGTTGCAGCAATCAAATCCAGAAAGCACACACAGGTAACTGATCCAGCAGGATTCAGTAACTTCTCTTTACACACAATATAATAGATAAATAAATATACAATTTCAACAGGTGGTTCTTCCAACGAGGTAGAGATTGTAAGTTGTTTCAGTTCAGCAGACTAGATTTTGTTTTAGTTCCTTTTGCACAGACTTGCAGTTTTAGTACAGAACAGTTGGACTAAGCCACGCCCAGGCTCCTCGCTGTTTCCAGCAAATACTGTTTCAGTTCCTAAACAGCCCTCATTGGCTGATTTAGTTGCGATGCCTATTCATTGGCTGACCTTGTTGCTATGCCCTATTCCAGTCATGAATATTCTGACAGTATGGTTATAGACCCCCTTAGCTGTACTTGAATTAGTCATAAATCATCGTGGGATTATGTGAGGATACTCTTGAGAAGGTGCTGCTGAAAATCCTGTCTAGTGCTTCTCATTTGCCCTAGGGGACAAACCAGCCCATAGGTGAGGGGTGTTGAACACAAGAGTGTCAAACCACATCACGGCCCAAACCCGGGCCGTTGGACCATCCTGGAAAATGTAAGGGGCCAGTCTGTGTCGCTTCGGCCCAATCTACCCAATGCCAGCAGTTTGGGGAGTAGCATGTTGGCCACGCCCACCCAGTCAGCCATGTCCACTGTGTGGCATCAGGCTGGCCATGCCCACCCACTCGGCCATACCCACCCAGTTGGCCATGCCCACCTTCCCCTCCTTCCAAGGTCAACCACAGCCCTGATGCGGCCCTCAATGAAATGGAGTTTGCCACCCCTGCCATATGTGCAAAGGGATGCCATGGTCTCCTTCAGGGTGATTGCAGTATTAGGCAGTATTATACTTATCAATCATAATGATTTCTTCCCTGTGAGCAACCTGGATAAAATGCCCAGATGTGTTGATCACAGATACCGCAGGTTTTTCTTCTTCTTCTTCTTAATGTGGCAAAAACCCCATGAAGTCAATGGTGTGCCAAAGAAAATAGATTTATTCTCTCACCACCCGACGCTTCTTTTCTGTTCTTCTAAATAAAATCTGCCTGACCAACTTAGGTAAGAATAACAGAGTTGGAAGGGACCTTGTAGGTCATCTAGTCCAACCCCCTTTGCCCAAGCAGGAGACTTTTGCATCTTGGAGCGAAGGGAAGGGACGCGACAAGCGGGTATGCAAAACAGCAACCTTTATTGAGAACAGAGTGACTACGATTCAACGTGGNCAGAATGTATGTATGTATGTATGTATGTATGTATGTATGTATGTATGTATGTATGTATGTACATACGTACATACAAACGTAGGTACATACATACATACATACATACATACATACATACATACATACATACATACATACATTCTGCCACTGATTAGCAGAGTGTAAGAGGCCAAGTGCTCAAAGGCGAAGCAAATGCTAGCAGTAAATATTTCGAATTTCCCTTAGGAAAAAAAGATGGTCTTCACAGATGGAGCATCAGAAGCATCCAGAGTAGCCTCCAAATGAGAAAAACCACTTTGTTTACTCTGAGTCCACTTTATTCAGCTACTTCAGTTTTGTTTTTCACGCCATTAAGGATCACCGCTTCTATGACTATCTGCCTGTTCATTAACGGAGGTTCCTGAAATGTTGTGCAAAATAACCATGATGTTCCTCCGAACACCCTATCAGTTTTCCAAGATGATGGGAGAAAAGGGGTGGGGAACAGATCTCATTGTTTTTAGAACAATTTTGTGTGACATTCAGTATGGCCAGGCACATTGAGAAACTATGAATCACAGATTTTTCTGTTTGCATTAATTTTCTTTGAAATCTTACACTTTAAAGTTTGGAAGTGGCAAACGGATGGAGTTTCTGAAAATCCCAAAGAATTTAGGTCATTGGATGAATTTGGACCCTGGATAGTTTATAATTTAACCTAAACAGGATCTGGATGAAGTTCTAGTTTATCCCTTCACAGCATGGACATTACTAATAATATTTTGAAGATTTTGTATTACGTAAATTGGCATGGGTTTTATTAATTCTAAAAGGTCACGCCTGCAGCATGACTAACTTTAAATGATACTGTATAAACAAAACCTTTTCATTTAAAATGAAGTTGTACATCAATGTACTACCTCTGGCTTTTTCAGGTTGACATAGTGAATAATGTAGTAACTTCTAAAATAAGCTTTATAGTTTGTAATAGTTACTTAAAATGACCAAAGAGCAATTGGGTTTGTATTTATTGTTCAATGGTGACAAAGTTCTAGATCCGTCAAAAGGCAAAGCTTCCGGGTTCAGTGAAAAGGAGATTTCCCTTAACATATTGACAGTACAGAAGAGAAAACAATGTCTCTTACTGAAGTAATAAACAAAGAATGTTTATTTAACCAATAGTACTGTGTTTTCCCGAAAATATGACATGTCCTGAAAAGAAGGCCATGCGAGATTTTTGGGGTAGGCAAAAATATATGCCCTCCTCAGAATGTAAGCTCAGTGGACAAACCCCCCTCCAGCCGGGCAGAGGAAGGTGCCAAGCTGCGCAAGCAGGGTGAGAATAGGCACCTGTCCGTCCCCCCCACCTCGCACTCATGCAGCTTGGCACCTTTGGGATACCGCTCGGTCGGTGAGTGGTGCTCTGCCCAGCTGGAGAGGTGGGTTGCCGGGTAGCTGCTCTCTTGCGAGCAGGCTCCCAAAGAGCCTGGCGCAGGGACAGGAGGACGCAGGCACAGCCTCAGGGTGGCTGTGTTGTGCTGTCACAGCAGCCATGAGGTGATCATTCTCGCTGCCTCCTGCACCCCAAAATAATAACCCCCCTCCTCCGATAATGCCAAGGCCATATTTCGGGGGTCAAAAGAAAATAGGACCCTGTCTTATTTTTGGGGAAACGCAGTATTAATTTCTGTACCTAATTAAAACCAAATCAGCACTGAATTATTGGTGCTCTTTTCCTTCCCTTCAGCCATATTTCCATTGCAATTAATATAAAAAGTCTCAGGTTGCCTAATTTTTTTTTATTTTAATCAGACATTTTAGTCAAAAATTCAGAAATGGTTAAGTTTGTGTATCACAGTGTTGCTTAAATCATTATGAGATAGTAAGATTAGAGGGATAACAAACAATTCTTACCTGCTTACCACTCTGCATTTTATTTGGCACATATTCTTACGAAGTCTAAATGTCATTCTTACCCTCTTAATAAAAAATATATCTATTGTAAGACGTCTTAACAATCAGGTGGCAACGCTCTCCTGTGGTTTCATTCTATTTTTTCACTACAAACTTTCATAATATTTTAGTTTTCAGAAAACAGTTTTAAAATGTATTAGAATTCCAGTAATAATTGTTGTATTTCCTGTTTATAAATAATTTGTGTTTTCCGTTCAATTCTCTTGCAATACGTGAATTTCTAAGAATAGCTTTTTAATATAACTTTCCATGAAGTTGTGCAACTGTGGTTATCCACATTCACATTCACATGGTTATTCACATTCCTGTAAACATTGCTGCCACCTACTGTTTGTAGTTGGAACTTTTTTGACTCCTTGAATGATATTGAACATTTAACAATCCACAGCACTGAGGGCAACTGTTGACCAAAAAAAATGGCTTAAGCAATTAAATTAAATTGTAAAATTTGTGTTCTATGCATTTGGGGCATTTTTCCAAATACATTTTAAATCAAGTTGCCCTATTATAATATATTGTTCTTAATTAACTTCATATATGTATTCACACATAACTTGTGAATATGTTCCACCTATTTCCACTTTTGTACTTGTTTTTGCAAAGCTGTTATTAAATTCTCAAAAATATGATTCTTAAAGATCACTTTGGTAAATTATTTGCCAAATACAAACTAAGGAAACTTGTACTAAAATACACATCACACTAATTTCTAATCTGGGCTCGATAGGGTTTAGAGCTGTTAATGAAGGCATGATTCTATCAGTCTCAGCTCTTTAATAACAGCCCTATTTTAATGTTATTTATAAATGCATTTTAGGGCTATTTTTGGATTGAGCAACTGAAGCTTCTTGGCTGAACATTTTTGTGAAGAAGTTTGAATACTTTAGTAGTACAGGTTTGTTACTTCTCCTACTTGAGTTATTTTCTGAAATGATTATTAAGAAAATTAATACAAACAAACAAAGCAGAATTTGTCTTTCTCTTCCCACTGTATCACAAAAGACAGCACTGTCCATTCTTGGAAGGTTTATTTTTCTGAAAAGATACAGGATCTTCCCTTCTTGCAATCAGATTATTTTCTGCTTGACAACACTCTCAAACTCAGCCAAGCTTAACCTAAATCCTAGCTACCTTAAAAGCCCTTTTTGACAGCAAAGGCAAGAAATTGCAAAAGAGTTTGGAACAGAACTTGCAAAAGATGATGAAAGATTTGGGAAAAGAAATGACTCTTACTTAGTTTTCAGGTTCTCAGTACTGTTCAAAAAGACAGACTTGGGATCAAGCAAGTTTTCTCAAGATGCAAATGTAGAAAGACCTAACTCGGAAATTTCTATTTTACAGCTGTTTGTGGGCCTTGGCTTCCCATATGAGGGTCCCGCACCTTTGGAGGCTATTGCAAATGGATGTGCATTTTTGAATCCAAAGTTCAATCCACCCAAAAGCAGCAAAAACACAGACTTCTTCAAAGGCAAGCCAACTCTTAGAGAGGTATGTTTTTATTTGTAATTACCATTGATTACATACATGAACAATGTCCTTTGAAACACATCTTCTAACACAACCCTGTACTGAAATACAATTGTGTATTGTTCTTATCAGGCCATGCTATTGACAGTGTTCAAATCAGAGAATGAATCCGAGATAGAGAGATATAATTTACTTCACAAATGGTCTGGTTTTTAATCAGGCTGATCCAGCAACAATTTCCATAATTGGTTTCCATCCCAATGAATCTTCTTCAGTAGACATGATGGAATTGCTGTTCCACAGTTTTTTGAAAACTAGTTTTGATCATTCATGCTTTAAAGAACCACTTAAGTCTTAATGCTCTGCCTCAACTCCATTATTAACTTGTCCAGCTATTAAGGCCTGTAGAAGCAGCCTTAATAGGCTGCTGTTCACAGACAAACCTACTTATCAGATAAAGAAAGTTGGCCTGTTTCACCATAATTTAGTGAACAGACTTCCTTCAAAGCTAAGGTTAGCCCCCAATCTTTTGGCTTCTTGGTGACAAAGTTAGGGATGGCAGAGAATGTTCAGGCAGACCATGTCTGTACTTAACACATGTTTTCTTCTGGGACAGATCTAAAAAAAAAAGACATATTTTAGGTAGAGGTTATCAGGGTGAAGAAAAAAACAAAAAAGAGTAAATACTTGGCAACAGTGTTTTTTANTTTTATTTTAATCAGACATTTTAGTCAAAAATTCAGAAATGGTTAAGTTTGTGTATCACAGTGTTGCTTAAATCATTATGAGATAGTAAGATTAGAGGGATAACAAACAATTCTTATCTGCTTACCACTCTGCATTTTATTTGGCACATATTCTTACGAAGTCTAAATGTCATTCTTACCCTCTTAATAAAAAATATATCTATTGTAAGACGTCTTAACAATCAGGTGGCAACGCTCTCCTGTGGTTTCATTCTATTTTTTCACTACAAACTTTCATAATATTTTAGTTTTCAGAAAACAGTTTTAAAATGTATTAGAATTCCAGTAATAATTGTTGTATTTCCTGTTTATAAATAATTTGTGTTTTCCGTTCAATTCTCTTGCAATACGTGAATTTCTAAGAATAGCTTTTTAATATAACTTTCCATGAAGTTGTGCAACTGTGGTTATCCACATTCACATTCACATGGTTATTCACATTCCTGTAAACATTGCTGCCACCTACTGTTTGTAGTTGGAACTTTTTTGACTCCTTGAATGATATTGAACATTTAACAATCCACAGCACTGAGGGCAACTGTTGACCAAAAAAAATGGCTTAAGCAATTAAATTAAATTGTAAAATTTGTGTTCTATGCATTTGGGGCATTTTTCCAAATACATTTTAAATCAAGTTGCCCTATTATAATATATTGTTCTTAATTAACTTCATATATGTATTCACACATAACTTGTGAATATGTTCCACCTATTTCCACTTTTGTACTTGTTTTTGCAAAGCTGTTATTAAATTCTCAAAAATATGATTCTTAAAGATCACTTTGGTAAATTATTTGCCAAATACAAACTAAGGAAACTTGTACTAAAATACACATCACACTAATTTCTAATCTGGGCTCGATAGGGTTTAGAGCTGTTAATGAAGGCATGATTCTATCAGTCTCAGCTCTTTAATAACAGCCCTATTTTAATGTTATTTATAAATGCATTTTAGGGCTATTTTTGGATTGAGCAACTGAAGCTTCTTGGCTGAACATTTTTGTGAAGAAGTTTGAATACTTTAGTAGTACAGGTTTGTTACTTCTCCTACTTGAGTTATTTTCTGAAATGATTATTAAGAAAATTAATACAAACAAACAAAGCAGAATTTGTCTTTCTCTTCCCACTGTATCACAAAAGACAGCACTGTCCATTCTTGGAAGGTTTATTTTTCTGAAAAGATACAGGATCTTCCCTTCTTGCAATCAGATTATTTTCTGCTTGACAACACTCTCAAACTCAGCCAAGCTTAACCTAAATCCTAGCTACCTTAAAAGCCCTTTTTGACAGCAAAGGCAAGAAATTGCAAAAGAGTTTGGAACAGAACTTGCAAAAGATGATGAAAGATTTGGGAAAAGAAATGACTCTTACTTAGTTTTCAGGTTCTCAGTACTGTTCAAAAAGACAGACTTGGGATCAAGCAAGTTTTCTCAAGATGCAAATGTAGAAAGACCTAACTCGGAAATTTCTATTTTACAGCTGTTTGTGGGCCTTGGCTTCCCATATGAGGGTCCCGCACCTTTGGAGGCTATTGCAAATGGATGTGCATTTTTGAATCCAAAGTTCAATCCACCCAAAAGCAGCAAAAACACAGACTTCTTCAAAGGCAAGCCAACTCTTAGAGAGGTATGTTTTTATTTGTAATTACCATTGATTACATACATGAACAATGTCCTTTGAAACACATCTTCTAACACAACCCTGTACTGAAATACAATTGTGTATTGTTCTTATCAGGCCATGCTATTGACAGTGTTCAAATCAGAGAATGAATCCGAGATAGAGAGATATAATTTACTTCACAAATGGTCTGGTTTTTAATCAGGCTGATCCAGCAACAATTTCCATAATTGGTTTCCATCCCAATGAATCTTCTTCAGTAGACATGATGGAATTGCTGTTCCACAGTTTTTTGAAAACTAGTTTTGATCATTCATGCTTTAAAGAACCACTTAAGTCTTAATGCTCTGCCTCAACTCCATTATTAACTTGTCCAGCTATTAAGGCCTGTAGAAGCAGCCTTAATAGGCTGCTGTTCACAGACAAACCTACTTATCAGATAAAGAAAGTTGGCCTGTTTCACCATAATTTAGTGAACAGACTTCCTTCAAAGCTAAGGTTAGCCCCCAATCTTTTGGCTTCTTGGTGACAAAGTTAGGGATGGCAGAGAATGTTTAGGCAGACCATGTCTGTACTTAACACATGTTTTCTTCTGGGACAGATCTAAAAAAAAAAGACATATTTTAGGTAGAGGTTATCAGGGTGAAGAAAAAAACAAAAAAGAGTAAATACTTGGCAACAGTGTTTTTTAAACAGTGACAACTAAGGGAAGGTAAGTACAAGAGAAATTCAAAGAATGTGTTGGAGGGATAGGGAGGCCCAATGCATACATACCACCCTTGAATTCAAGCATGGTGACACCTCAGTGGATAAGGAGGCATTGAGCAGATCACAAACTCACAAGTCATGCAATGGCCTTGTGTGGAGGACATGTCCTCCATCCCTTAGAACCGGGATGGCAAACCTATGGCATGCGTGGCACGCAGAGCCATTTGTCAGGGCACGCAAGTCATTGCCCTGTCAGCTGGCCAGCATGCATGCACATGCTGGCAAGCTGAATTCAGCCTTTTTTAAAGCCATTTTTTGCCCTCCCCAGGCTCCAGAGGCTTTATCCCCAGATAGAGGCCTGGGGAGAGCGAAAACAGCCTCCCACAGCCCCTCTGAGCAAACAGAAAGTGACTTCCGGTTTGCTTGTAGGGCTGATTTTAGCCCTAGTTCAGGAGCCCTCAGGAAGCTTCCCTGAAGGCTTCAGAGGACTAAAAACGACCCTACGAGCAAACCGAAAGTCACCAGAGGGCCTCCAGGGGGGAGGAGGAGGCTGTTTTCTTTCTCCCCAGGCTCCTATAAAGCCTCTGGAGACTGGGGAGGGCGAAAAAAGTATGCAAAAAATGGGGAGCGCCTGCCATGTGTACTGGGTGGGGGTCACGCATTGCATTATGGTTGTGGCACACCACCACCCCCCTGCGCTCTCCCTGTTTATGGCACGCGAGCCAAAAAAGGTTCACCATCGCTGCCTTAGAAGATTTCTCCAGCTTTAGTTACAGCTCAAAACTGGAACAATCAAGATGTTATGAATATCAGTTTGGCTGGGCCACATTCAAGGTTCCCTGAACTTCCAGGCCAACCGCAGGGATTTGTCCAGGCTGTCAACCAGGAGTTTAAGACTAACTCAAAGACACTCTGAAAAAGAAAAAAAGAAAAATAGTGGTTAAAATTGGTTGCTTCTCATCGCTTTCCAGGGTTTCCTAAAAGTATGATGTAATTTTTTGGGGGGGATAGTCAAGATTTCAAAAAAACAATTAAAGCCTTCTGAACTTTGAATGTTACTAAGCGAACATAAACTCTAAAAATATGGCATTTCTCTCCCTTTTCTTTCAGTTGACATCTCAACATCCCTATGCTGAAGTCTACATTGGGAAACCTCATGTTTGGACAGTAAATATCAATGATCTTTCTGAAGTGGAACAGGCCGTGAAAGCAATTTTGAGCCAAAAGGTTAATAAAGATAATTATCTTCTTAATCAGTGTTTTACAGTGGAATAAAACATGCTAGGCTCTATTGTAAGGGTTTATTATGTGGAAAAAATCTTTAGCAAACAAAGTTAAACATTATAGAAAACTTTTGCTTTAAAAACCCAGAGAAAAGTTGGAAGAAGTAGTAGCATTAAACATTTCTTACGAATAAAAATATCTTAAGTAAATTAGTAGCAAGTAACATAGAATTTGAATATAATAATTTTAAAATAGTATGAATTATAGGTAATCCTTGCTTACTGGCCATTAATTCAGTGATCATTTGAAATTAAAATCCCCCCCCCAAAAAAATAACTTTACAGACCATTTACCAGCACATATGGCTTTTGCAGCATCCCTCAGTCATGTGACTTCCATTATATTCAGTATGCATTATCTTGTACCTGATCTGTGGTGAATTTTTTTACTTCACCCCTTTCAGAACAGAGACATTGGAGAAAAGGGGATTGTAAGAGAGTAATCTGATCTTCTCCACAGCCCAAAGCTGAGAGCTGTGGGCATGCTACACAAACAGCTTACAGTACTCGCCTGAAAACTCTTCCTCTTTATACTCTCTAATCTGCAAAGGGAAAGGGGGGAAAAGCAGGGAGTTTCTGGAAGCCACCTCTCTTGCCTGGCATCTCCATCCCCGCAGAGTGGGGAGAGTGGAGAGATTTCAAGAGAGTACCGTATTTTTCAGAATATAAGATGAATATAAGTATAAGACTCACCAAGGTTTTGAAGAGACAAATTTTTTAAAAGTAGGTAGGTGGAGGGAGGGAGGGAGGGGGAGAGAGAGAGAGAGAGAGAGAGAGAGAGAGAGAGAGAGAG